GCATGTATGCATTAAATACCAAGAGTTACCTAATATTCTTGAGGCAAATATGCAAAAGGCACCAAAAAGTCAGAATACATTAAATATACATGGACACTTAGAACTCAGTATTGTGAGACCTATATTGTGAGACCAAATAACACCTATGACTGTTCAGCAGATGAAAAGCTAACGCCATGACCAGGCATACTTGTTCCTGTATCTTCCTGAAAGTGTGTGTATCTTTGGCCCATGGCACCTACCATGTGGGCTCCGGTTCTCACAACCGCAACACTGGCAAGGAATGCTGATAAGGCAAAACATGTAAACACTAAGTACCCCAGAATTTAGGTAGTACAGTCCTTCTATCCTACTTAAACCCCAGCCTTTGTTAACTTATCCTCTATCATTTCCTTTGCTTCTGTGTATATTTATTTAATGAACCATGTGATATAAACATTTTATCGGTTAGCTTTTTTCCCAATAACCTTTGGGATAGCTTGCCTGGTGGTCGTTTTGAAGTCCAGCGTTGAATTGGGGTGATTTCCCACTCTTAACAACACTATTTGACACATTTACTGACTTTACCTTTTTGAAACATTTTTCTCTGGGTCATCACCCATGGTTCTCATATCTCACTGGCTATGTGTTCTCCATGTCCTCTATAGCCCTAGGATGACTTTGTTACAAACATTTAGTCTTAAATCTTTTCATAACATCTTCAGGCTGGTAAGTCCCAAATTTATATTTCTAGTCCTAACATCTTACATAAACACAGTTTAAAACCAAACTTTTACTATCTACCTCAAAACCAACTCCTCTCTTAGATAATTGCAATGGTCTCCTAAATAGTTTCCTGGTTTCCCACCTTAGATCCACTTCAGTCTACTCCCACCCAGTAGTCTGAGTGATCCTTCCAAAACATGAATCAAACCACATTAATCCGCTGCTCAAAACCCATGTTATGGCTTTCTATCTGCATCATAATATAAATCTAAAATCAGTACCATAATCTGCAAAACCCCAGCTGAATTACTCCCATCTCTACTCCCACCATTAACCAGCTTTCTCACCCAGTTATAGCCATACAGACCTCTGTACCATTATACAAACATTCTAAACATGTTACCACTGCAAGATCTTTTTTTTTTGAAGACAGAATCTCATTCTGCTGCCCAGACTGGAGTGCAGTGGCTCGATCTCAGCTCACTGCAACCTCTGTCTCCTGGGTTCAAGCTATTCTGCCTCAGCCTTCTGAGTAACTAGGACTACAGGCACGTGCCACCACACTCAGATAATTTTTTGTATTTTTAGTAGAGACGGGGTTTCGCCATATTGGGCAGGCTGACCTTGAACTCCTGACCTCAGGTGATCCACTGCCTCAGCCACCCTAAGTGCTAGGATTACAGGCATGGGCCACTGTGCTTGGCCAAGATCTTTATATTCACAACTCCCTCTGCTTGCAGTGCTCTTTCCCGATAGATTTGTATGACTTACTCCTTATTTTCAGGTCACTGCTCAAACATCCTCTTATCAGAGTGGACTGGACTTCCCTTACCAACTTTTTTTTTTGAGACAGTCTCCCTCTGTCACACAAGCCAAAGTGCACTGGTACAATCTCAGCTCACTGCAGCCTCTACCTCCTGGGTTCCAGTGAATTTCCTGCCTTAGCCTCCCGAGTAGCTGGGATTACAGCCACGTGCCACCACACCCAGCTAATTTTTATACTTTTAGTACAGACAGGGTTTCACCATGTTGGCCAGGGTGATCTCCAACTCCTGATCTCAGGTGATCTGCTCACCTCGGCCTCCCACAGTGCTAGTATTTACAGGCATAATAAGCCACCGTGCCCAGTTCCTTATCAATTTTTATAAATACAAATCTTCTAGCAACTCACCCAACCACCCTCAGGCTTAGCATTCCTATACTCCTTGTCCTACTTCATTTTTCTTCAAAATCTGGGCCACCACCTGAGAGACATTAATTGGTTTGTTGGCTGCTTATCTGTCCAGACATTAAGTTCCACCAGGTCAGCAATTGGTACTTTCTATTTTATATGCATAAAATTTACAGAATACCAGGCACATAGAAGGTACTCAACAAGTATTACTAAAAAAAATAAATAAATGAGTAACAATAACAGGAGATATTCCCACAGCAAGTGTTAGCAGCAAGAAAGGACAGCTCCCCATGAAGACAAGAGGATTACCTAGAGAATCACAGATCCTGCCAAGTCCCACAAGCCCAGCAGACTCCCAGAATTACTTGGGACAAGAGCTATAATACCAGAAAGGCGGGTGAGAGAAAGGCCATACAAATACTGTTCTTTGATAGTCACAGCCCTGATTTTAAAAAATAATAATTAATTGGTAAGAAAAAATAATAACTTTACCACAGACAAAACAAAAAGATACCGTCTCAAACAAGTGATCAAAATAGTACTACCAGTATTCTAAATTGGTAGGCTTATGCAACAAAACTGAGGAAAAAAGTAATAGTAGTATCACCAGTAACTGCACAAATAAATATCACATGCTTTCTAATACAATGCACTAAGAATACTACATAACTTCTGTGGTATTCCTGCCAAAAACATATAACCCAAATCTAATCATATTAGGAACATTCTGTGACAACAAAACAAAAAAAACTGGTCTATATTAAAAAATGTCTATGACATAAAATACAAACACTCAAAACTGTTCCACATTAAAGGTGACTAAATAGACATGACCATTAAGTGCAATACATAATCCTGGATTTTATTTTGTTAGAAATGACATTGTTGGGACAATTGGCAAAATCTGAATACAATCTGTGGATTAGGTAACAGTATTTCATCAATGCTAACTTCCTGACTTTGATAATTTTGTGGTTATATAAGAGAATGTTCTTTTTTTGTTTTGTTTTTTTTTTGTTGTTTTTTGTTTTTTGTTTTTTTGAGACAGTCTCCCTCTGTTGCCCAGGCTGGAGTGCAGTGGTATGCTCTCGGCTCACTGCAACCTCCACCTACCACGTTCAAGTGATTGTCCTGCCTTAGCCTCCTGAGTACCTGGGATTACAGGCATGACCCACTACACCCAGCTAAATTTTGTATTTTCAGTAGAGATGGGTTTTCACCGTGTTGGCCAGGCTGGTCTTGAACTCCTGCTGTCAGGTGATCTGCCTGCCTTGGCCTCCCAAAGTACTCGGATTACAGGCATGAGCTACCACACCCAGTCCCTTGTTCTTTAGAAACACACACTGTCAACCAGACAAGGTCAATCACGCCTGTAATCCCAGCAATTTGGGAGGCTGAGTTGGATGGATCACTTGAGACCAGGAATTCGAGACCAGCCTGGCCAATGTGACAAAACCCCATCTCTACTAAAATTACAAAAACTAGCTGGGCGTGGTGGCAGGAACCTACTCGGGAAGCTGAAGCAGGAGAATTACTTGAACCTGGGAGGCGGAGGTGGCAGTGACCTGAGAATGTGTGGCTACACTCCAGCCTGAGCAACAGAGCAAGACTCTGTCTCAAAAAGAAAAAAAGTGGGCCGGGCGCGGTGGCTCAAGCCTGTAATCCCAGCACTTTGGGAGGCCGAGGCGGGTGGATCACGAGGTCGAGAGATCGAGACCATCCTGGTCAACAAGGTGAAACCCCGTCTCTACTAAAAATACAAAAAGTTAGCTGGGCATGGTGGTGCGTGCCTGTAATCCCAGCTACTTAGGAGGCTGAGGCAGGAGAATTGCCTGAGCCCAGGAGGCGGAGGTTGCGGTGAGCTGAGATCGCGCCATTGCACTCCAGCCTGGGTAACAAGAGCGAAACTCCGTCTCAAAAAAAAAAAAAAAAAAAAAAAGAAAAAAGTGTAACTACGAAAGAAGAAGCTATACAAAAAATTGACAGAAGTTTTTAAAGAATATTTTTTATCAGACTAAAGCAGTCAAATTTTTCCTACTTCTGAATTCTATTTAAAAACTAGAAATAATTTTTAAAAAGTAAAAATTTTTTTAAAACTGGAAATAAGGCCAGGCACACTGACTCATGCCCATAATCTCAGCATTTTGTGAAGCAGAGGCAGGCAGATTGCTTGAGGTCAAAAGTTCAAGAACCACCTGGGCAACATAGGAACACCCTGTCTCTACAAAAAAAAAAAAAAAGAACTAAATAGTACCATAAAATATAATATCGTAACGCTGACCTTCAAAGAAATACTGACTTCCATACAGTATTTCTATTTTCTCATTTTAAAATTTTTTTAAATTAAGATGGTATGAGGGCTAGGTAGGTACAGTCACTCACGCCTGTAATCCCAGCACTTTGGGAGGCTGGGGCAGGCATATCACTTGAAGTCAGGAGTTTGAGACTAGCCTGGCCAACATGGTAAAATCTCGTCTCTACTGAAAACACAAAAATTGTCCAGGCGTGGTGGTATGCCTACAATCCCAGCACTTTGGGAGGCCAAGATCAGTGGATCACGGGGTCAGGAGTTCGAGACCAGCCCAACCAACATGGTAAAATCCCATCTCTACTAAAAATACAAAAATTAGCCAGGCATGGTGGCACACACTGGTGCCAGTGCCAGGTGTGGTGGCTAAGACAACTTGTACCCGGGAGGCTGAGGTTGCAGTGAGCTGAGATCATGCCACTGTATTCTAGCCTGGGTGACAGAGCGTGACTGCATCTCAAAAAAATAAAATAAAATAAACAAAAATAAAAAAGAACATAAAAATTAGTCCGGTGTGGTGGAGGGCACCTGTGGTCCCAGATACTCAGGAGGTTGAGGCAGCAGAATCACTTGAACCCAGCAGGTGGAGGTTGTAGTGAACTAAGATTGTGCCACGGCACTCCTGCCTGGACAACAGAGTGAGACTCCACCTCAAAAAAAAGTAAAAGATAACCTAAAAATGGCACCGATACTTTCATAATTTAGTATTATTTCAACTGAAACACCATGAAATACTGTAGAAAAACCTTAGTACAAACGTAAAAGAGCCACAATCAGCCATTTCTAAAAAGAGAGAAAACAAAGCAACATTACCTTCATGGACTGTAATGCCACAATTGTCACACTGAATTATTTCATCAGCATCCTCACTATTATCTCCCAGACAAACACAGCAAATCAGAATATGGTCCATTTTTTGAGAACTCCAGTTTTGACTCTTCTCAAGAATCAGCGAGTCCTAATATTAAAATATTAACATACATCAGAAAATCACTTTTAAAATAAAAAAAAGTAATCACTAAAATTCTCTTTATTTCTTAAACATTATTTTATGTACTTCCAAATTTATGCCCTGTTTTCCATTCTTTTACTAACTTCAAAGTACATTTTTATTAAGAAATACATATTTGACCTCTGTCAAAGAACCCTGTAAGCACCCTCTTATTTAATTTTTCACTTCTCTGCAAGTTCCGTACTCTCTATCCTCCAGGATATGAAAAAGCAGGAATGCAACTAACAACTCTTCATCTGCTTTGCCATTGTGCTTTTCCCCTTAAACTAAGAGAAAGGAAAAATGAATCCACAAGTAATCAAGATAATCACTGATCCTCTACATGTGTTTTAAAACTATAGGACATGGTTCTTACACTTTAGAAACTTAACAATCCTACCTAGAGGAGACAAGACACACATATACAAAATAGGAAGAAATCAATTCAAAATAACGTATAAGCAAGTGTGTATGTGACGGCAGACTTAAGTACTCTATACTCCTATAAATTCTGAGGAATTCAGAAATTACAAGGTTATCAAACTACTCTAAGATCCATGAGAGCCTGCCTAAGTATATGAATATACGCAGATACAGAAAATAATCTGAAAAAGGACCCAGATTGACTAGCTGCTAGAAGGGCCAGAGTACTGTATTAATTAGGTTTCTACCAAGAAATATGTAGTGTAAACTGGTAATATAGACATTAGCTAGTGATACTATAAAAAAGAGAGGATGGGCACAGTAGCTCACACTGGTAATCCCAAGTACTGTGGGAGGCTGAGGCAGGAGGACCACTTGAGGCCAGGAGTTTGATACCAACCTCGGCAACACAGTGAGATCCTGCCTCTACAAAATATTTTTAAATTAGCTGGGCATGGTGATGCATGCCTTTAGTCCCAAATCCTCAGGAGGCTGAGGTGGGAGGATCACCTGAGCCTAGGAATTCAATGCTGCAGCGAGCTATTATCATGCCACTGCACTTCAGCCTGAGGCATACAGCAAGACTCTGTCTCAAAAAGAAAGAAACAAAGAAAAAGATATATTAATAAACAAATATTTAAAGATAAAATTTCAGAAGAAGAGAATCTGCTTGTTTTAATTTAAACCTGCATTATGGATTTTAACTTTAAATAAGTTAACCAGAAAATGATTCTTACATATTTAATAGAGTATGTTTAACATTACATATAATAAAAGATGGCACTTGGGTCCATACATTTTTATTTATGAACCTAACAATATTCAGAATAAATTTAATAAATTAGTTTCATACCATACACTCATTAAATATATTTTGTTTCACAATATATTTCATATATTTTATTATTTTTATATTTTTATATTCTTTTAAACTCAATCAATATCCAAAAATAACATTTGGAGACATCATTTCAATAGCAATTTGTAAGTGACACTTGAACACACTTGAAGGCCACAATTAATAATTCCTTCAATATATTTTGTGTACAACATCTAAAATTGCAGTGGATTTTTGAAGCAAATCAGAAAAGAATGCAAAAGTCAGCAAGAATATAGTATCATTTCTCTTAAGAATTCTAGTATTTCAAAGTCCTATATTTTGCTTCTCTGTTATAAAACCAAACAAAATAGTTCTGGGGCTAACAAATGGCTGGCAAATAAAACTGAAAACATCCTAAAGAAAAGTAATCTGGTTTTATAGTACCAGAGTAAGCAAACAAAAATCTGTCCAGATTTTCATATTACTAGCCATGTTTCAAAGTTTACTTAAAATCAAACATTCTTAAGTTTCTTTCTCACCTCTTATCTGCTACTAAACCTTGAAGCTGTAATTTCTTTATCTGTAAAATGGCAATGATAAAAATAGTATCTATCTCATGAGTTTATAAGAATTAACAATATATGGCAAGAATGTTCCTGGCACAAGCAAGCCACTCAATAAATGTTCATTCCCTTTTCCTTTCCTCTGTACTTCTTATTACGGTGGTTCAAAAAAAGGAACATGAACTGATAATTCCTTGGATCCCCAAAAGAAAATCTGTTGAGTCTCAATGAGCACTGCTACTTTAAATACCACCTCCATGCTAAGTCCAAAAGAGACTTTCCTTAGAATATCACATCTAGGTTAAAAAAAAAAAATTACAGACTAAAAAATGACCTAGGAAACAATCTGACTTTGAAAATTAGGATGCTACATGTCTTTGTGGACTGTGCAATAATTTCTCTGGTGGAATTATAACTAATCAGCCCTGGAAAAAAATGTTTACCCATATAGGAAACAAGTAAATTTCTAAGGGTCAGAAAAAGTTGTATCAAGATGCAGTTCTAATTCCTCTATTTTCCTATTTTTCCATTTGGGTGAGAAAAACCAGAAATGACTAATCATATCTCTACGGCAATTTCTCTCCACATCTATTATCAATTAGAGGCAGAGAAAACAACATTAACTAATGTTTCTGGCCCTCTGATCCTCATGACTTGAGACTCTTAATAGAAATGTAAGGCAAAGAGGGAAATAGGGGAAATTAGTTACAACATTTCCCTATCCAAACTGCTGGCAAACAATGTTTCAATGGGAAAATCTAATGCACCCTCCTTAAAAAAATGATCTCACTTTTCTTTAACAGATCAAATATAGGTTTAAGCACAATTATGATCATATCAATACAAAACTGATTTATTATCAATTGTTGTTAGTATATTTCTGAAGACATATATAATCTTCCAAGGTTTTAGAGAAAGCAGTTAAGCTGAGGTTTTTAACATAAAATTTCTAAAATATGGTTTTACATAAAAATAGAAATTAGAAAAATAGGTTTTGTTTTATTTATTTATTTATTTATTTATTTATTTATTTATTTATTTTGAGACGGAGTTTCGCTCCTGTTACCCAGGCTGGAGTGCAATGGCGCGATCTCGGCTCACCGCAACCTCCGCCTCCTGGGTTCAGGCAATTCTCCTGCCTCAGCCTCCTGAGTAGCTGGGATTACAGGCACGCGCCACCATGCCCAGCTAATTTTTTGTATTTTTAGTAGAGACGGGGTTTCATCATGTTGACCAGGATGGTTTCAATCTCTCGACCTTCGTGATCCACCCGCCTCGGCCTCCCAAAGTGCTGGGATTACAGGCTTGAGCCACCTCGCCCGGCAGAAAAATAGGTTTTGAACGGTAAAAAAAAAAAAAAAAAAAAAAAAAAAGTACCACCTAGAAAATAACTTTAATATAATGGAATAATTTAATGTAATCAATGAAATAAGAAGAATAAATGATATGAATAAACCAATCATTACTTAAATTATTTCATTCTTTCCATCAGGGTTTAAAACTTACCCTAAAAAGGGTAATACTGATCAATGTTCTTTACAGGCTTTAAAATATGCTTACTGATCATTTATATATCTATTCCATGTATGATTGTAAATGATATATACGATAGGCTAAATTTTATCTAAATCCCGTGTTTAAAACAAGAAAATTTCAGCATGCTTCCTGTAAAATCAAAAGTATCCTACTGCCCTAAAGAAAAAATTATACCAAAAAGCTTAACCAATTATGCTTCCTCTAAGTTTTGAGAAAAGGTTATTTCTTGTGAATCTCAATATTTACACAATGTTACAGAAGTGACTTTTTTTTAGGACTTAGAGCAATTTTTCTTCATTTCGCAATGTGTAAAAAGGCAACTGATTAGTAAGTCCGAAGTCCCAAATAGATGTGGATATTTATAAATTTTGGTAAATTTTGTGCATTTTAATTCACAAAAATCAGGTGAATTTCTTAATGGCAATGATATCTAGTACTTTTAACAGAGCCTTTAACGGAAAAAAAATTCTACTCAGCAAAGAACATAAAGCGACATTTATAAGACAGTAATCCAAAATCCAAACTGTCTCTAATATTAAATATTTTCTGTGAGAAAAAAGCTCTTCTATTACAAATCAAAATGTCACTTCTATTGACATAATTTTCTGTCATGTATTAATTCTCATCCAAAAGTTTAGTTTCAAAATCTTGAAAATGGGAACCATTTCTGAAAATACTACACTGCCTTCCCCAAAAAACATACCTCAGAAAACTAAAGGGCGAGATAATGTTAAGCAATCTCAAAGCTGCAAGATTAATGGCTGAAAATGACATATAACCATATTTCAAGGGGATTCTTCAGGCTATACTAAATTCAAAAAATACCATAAGGCTGTTGACAAAAACAGGAGGTCATTTTCTGAAAATGAAGTTTATCTAATGCCCAATTCTAGAGCAGCAGTTCTGAAGATGTGGTCCAGTGAACTCTCTTTCAGCAGGTATACAAGGTAAAGGCTACTTTCATAATGATACTAAGACACTGTCTTTTTCACTCTTTCTCCTATGGGAGTAACGTGAAGTTTTCCAGACACTACATGAAATGGCATTAAACAACCTGTGTGCTTCCTCAGTTTTAATTTGAAATGATAAATTGCAACAGATAAAATCTACATAAATGTTAATGGTTGTCCTCAGTATTTTTTAAAACTGTAAAGGGGCTATGTGTGGTGGCTCACACCTGTAATCCTAACATTTTGGAAGGCTGAAGCAGGATGGCTTGTGGTCAAGAATTTGACACCAACCTTGGCAACATAGTGAGACCTTTGTCTCTACAAAAATAAATAAATAAATAAAAATGAAAGCATTAGTCACATGTGATCGTACACTTGTAGTCCCAACTACTCCAAAGGCTGAGGTGAGAGAATTGCTTGAGCCTGGGAGGTCAAAGTTGCAGATAGACATGATCACACCACTGCACATCAGTCTGGGCAACAAAGGAAGACTCTGTTTCAAAAAAAAAAAATTTTTTTTTAATTTTAAAATGAGGTCAGGTGTGGTAGCTCATGCCTGTAATCCCAGCACTTTGGGAGGCCAAGGCAGGTGAATCACTTGAGGTCAGTCAGGAGTTGGAGAACAGCCTGGCCAACATGGTGAAACCCCATCTCTACTAAAAATTCAAAAATTAGCTGAGCATTCTGGCATGCACCTGTAGTCCCAGCTACTCGGGAGACTGAGGCAGCAGAACTGCTTGAACCCAGGAGGTGGAGGTTGCAGTGAGCCGAGATCATACTACTGTACTCCAGCCTGGGCAACACAGTGAGACCCAGCCTAAAAAAACAACAACAACAATCTGAGAATCACTGAATCACTGCTCTAGAGTATTTCAGGGTCTGCAGCATAGGTATGTTAAAGCCATTAAGAGCAAGAGGACCCTGCTAAAATAAGTATCTTCAAAATAAACTTCAAAATTATGCAAGTTTCAGGTCATCATTTCACTACAAATGAACTTAACATAGTAGCCAAGAAAAATGTCTGCCTGCTTATAATCTAAATATGGTATAATTATATATATGTATATATAATGCGTAATATATAATTATTTCTATTATGTACTTCTAAAACTATATTTTCAGCTATCTCTACAAAGTAGTTTCTGAAAACAAAGTAAAAGGGAAAAATCAAACTTCAAATATAATCAAATATAAACTTAAATATATACTTAACTTATATACTTAACTTAAATATAATCAAATATATATAGATATAGAAATTATAACTAGCTAAAATAACCAGGAAGATTAAGACCCAAACACTGGCTACAGGCAACAAGGACTAGCTTTAATCATCTTTTTACAAAATCAAGATCATACAAATAAGAAATCTAAATATATAACTAATAATCACAGTTTAATTGAAATGTAATTATCTAATTTGAGGGACATAATTTAAATAACTAAAATCATCAAAAAATTACAGTAGAGCTTAAATAATAGAGTTGTAGGGAAAATGACTCAAGCTTTTACATAGAAAGTTAAGAGAAAAATTAAGTTTTTATGATCTCGGGCCGGGCGCGGTGGCTCATGCCTGTAATCCCAGCACTTTGGGAGGCCGAGGCGGGTGGATCACGAGGTCAAGAGATCGAGACCATCCTGGTCAACATGGTGAAACCCGTCTCTACTAAAAATACAAAAAGTTAGCTGGGCATGGTGGCGCGTGCCTGTAATCCCAGCTACTCAGGAGGCTGAGGCAGGAGAACTGCCTGAACCCAGGAGGCGGAGGTTGCGGTGAGCCGAGATCGCGCCATTGCACTCCAGCCTGGGCAACAAGAGTGAAACACTCCGTCTCAAAAAAAAAAAAAAAAAAAAAGTTTTTATGATCTCTTCTACATGTGCACTTTTAAGTGCTTTGGAATCTCATTTCTGGAATGTGTTTGTGTTTGGGACTACTAACCTAAACATAAAAGGTCCCATTATTGTCAGGCGAGGTAGCTCACACCTGTAATCCCAGCACCTTGGGAGCCTGAGGCGGGCAGATCACAAGGTCAGGAGTTCAAGATCAGCCTGGCCAACATGGTTAAACTCCATTTCTACTAAAAATACAAAACTTAGCTGAGCATGGTGGCACATGCCTATAATCCTAGCTACTGGGGAGGCTGACGCAAGAGAATTGCTTGAACCAGTACTTGGGAGGCAGAAGCTGCCATGAGCCAAGATCAAACCACTGCACTCCCAGCCTGGGTTACAGAGCAAGACTTAATCTTCAAAAAAAAGGTCCCATTATTTACTAAAGTGTCTTCTAATGAGAAAAAAACTAAACAACATGTAGACTTTAAATGCATCATAAACATTAGTCTACAACCTCTTAAGCAGTACTAATGACAGGTTTAATAAACAAATACTATACACATTTTACATGGCAAATTTCTAAACATATGCAGATGTCCCCCACACTTCGGCGTAAATCTAATCCACACTTCCTCCATCATTAGCTAGACTATGTCTAAGAGTATCAACCTAATAAAAATGAAGAAGTGAAGTTGTCAAAAGTAAACTTATTCATTAGATATAGAGTACTAAGTGCTATAAAATAAACTGAATGCACGCCTAAATTAAACCCAAACAATTAGATTTTTCCATGCCTGTTTCTTTAAGACAGCATTGACAATATGGAACTGCTTGTGCAATATCATTAAAAATATTATACTATTTCCCAAATGACAGCTTTCCTTTAAAGATAAGAATTAGAGTGGCACTAAAGGCAGGCAACATTTTTCATATAAAATATTGGTTTCAGAAGTTAAGCAATGTTTATAATCCAAATATAAACTGCTATCTCATCTCCACTGATAACCTCACAGCCTGCTATAGATTATTTTGGTAAGAAAACTGCCATACTTTTAAGCAAAATAATTCAAATAGATAAGCACTGCTATATAAAATTTGTAGACAGAAAAACGTGAATGAACAAATAAAGAAAGCATAAGAGAAAAAAATTTATATCAGTTTAACTTACTTCAATGATACGAAAAAAAGTAAGTGTTTGGTAAAGAAGTAAATTTTGGTGACTATAAACACATTAACAGAAATGACAGAACTAATAATTACAGTTCTACATGTGATGTAACAGATACATCTACATGTAAGACAACAACTCAATCTTTCCTTTGAAGAAAAACATATACAAAAACACATAGACAAAGAGACACAAATGTGTTTGACTGAAGAGTCTTGAAAGATGAATCTCTGAGATCAATGGATATACCTAACTTTCAGTAGTAGAACTTCAAGTAGAAACACTGAGTCATTACCGTAGTTTTATTACAAAAATGTCTGTTTTATGATGGAAATGTTTGGGTTTTTTTTTTTTCCATTTCTTTGTAGAGAGAACTTAATTACTAAACATATGTAAAAATAGTTCATACTTATGTGTATGTCCCATACACATAAAGCAAAGATTTAGTGAGTAAAGATGATGAGTGCTACAACCGGTAAAGGAATTAATCTTTAAAATGAATCTCTACAAGCTTGAGAAAATCATCAGGCTGTTTGTTGCCCTGCTCTAAGGTATTCTAAAGGCCTACATTTTAATGTGGATATGGACCTAACCAAGTTGAAAGAAAGGTGACCTTTGTTTTCATAATCCACTCAGCACCATTCAGCAGTCCTGTGAACAAAGGGGTAAAGGGATAAAAAGGAGAATGGAAAACTTTGCCATTTCCCAAGTGTAAGGATATAAAAATATTTCTCTAAATATATCTCCTTGAGGACAAAGATTGTGAACTCCTTGAGAACGGTGACAAATAGTAGATGTTTAATAAAAGTCTGTTGACCAAATGAAAAAATGTTACAGTTAGGGTGCTCATTCACTCCCACAGCCGTCTATAAATAGGAGTTCAAGGAAGCCACTTAATACAATGTGTAGAGTGATTTAGAGAAGAATTCCCTTTTCCCCAGACAGACAGATATAAAAATTGGGTTGATCTACCTCATTACTCTTGCTTTGAGATAGGGTCAGGCTATCATTGGTCAGTTCCTCATCATCAGCACTGTTTCTGCTAAGAACTTTACTCTTCTTCTTCTTGCAACCCCCTTCACTGGCAGGGCTACTATGATCTTCATCATTGCCTTCATCATTCTCATCTTCATCACTCCCGCTTCCCTCATCTTCATCGTCCTCATTGTCTCCATCACTTCCCTCTTTCTGAGATGCAGATCTCCCTTTTCTCTTCACTACAGTAGGTCGCCAATCATTGTCATCCTCACTGTCATAGTCATCCATGTCATTCAGTTCTTCCATGGACACAAAATCCAGAAGTGGTCGGTTTCGTCGAAGGTTCCATTTTTTTGGCTCGCTGACTTGTTCCTCTGCAGCAGTTGTTGTAGTAGGAACAGAAGGGGATGTGTTAACAGCAGGAGGACTTGTGGCTAGTGTGGTGGCGGCAGCAGAAGCAGCCACATTCTCAGATACTGTTGCTTTTTCTTTTTCCTTCTCTCTTTCCTTCTCTTTCTCCTTTTCCTTTTCCTTTTCCTTCTCTTTCTCCTTTTTCTTTCTAGGTCTTTCTCCATTTTCTTCTTCCTCCTTCTTTTCCATTTTAATTAACTGTTTTTCTGATGATAGTACTTCTTCCTCTGCAGAATTTTTAAGTTGTTCTTCTTTTACTTTAATATCTTCATTCAGTTCTTCTTCTAAAATATTTTCTTCAGAATCACTACAGGAACCTTCTCCACTGTCCTTTGAAGCATCTTCACTTCCATTACCACTCCCTTCAGAATCTGTTGAAAATATGAGAAAAAAAAAACCACACATATGTATATACATACACACACACACACACAACGCTGACACAAATGAAACCACCAAAATTTGTGAATAACTTGTAAAACAATATAAACAAATTTAAGTCAAAGAATGGTAGACATTCCCAACCTGATCAAATAATAAATCAATGAAGTTGATACAATGGTTTTAGTTCAGTATAGCATTAATGAAGATGAATATAGATAACCCTAAATTAAAATGTGCTTTAAAAAGAGAAGCACTATTTTGTGTCATATGGCAATGTTTGGTACTGAAGAGGCAATTATTTTTTAATGTAAACGTGCTTCTTTTAAGATTGGGCACTTGATTTTAATTTTACTGATATAATACAGACAAAATGCTTCCTCCTTTAAACATCTTTTATAAATTATATGGACTTATAAGTATTGAGTCACAACCAAAACAAGATAAATCTCACCCATAAAACTGCTTCGTTTATTTTATTCTACCCAGCAAAATGAGCATAGCTATTTATGAGAGTCAACTTATACCAGATCCTTAATATACCAAACAGATTTTAGGAATACCAAGAACACAGGTCAAAAGAGAAAAGACAGTAGCAATGGCACAAAAAAAAAGGAAGTTTCAAGAGAAATTTTCAGTTTTCCTGTTTATCAGAATACTCTTCATATTAATAAGGGTCACTACACTTTCAAAAATTCTAGACAGTAACTACTATAGGCTCTAGAATGGAAGAAATTGATGAATAAAGCAATCCATCCTGAAAACGGGTAGTCACAGAGGTTACTGAAAAGTTATGCTGAGGACATTAAAGAGCTCACACTGGACTATAAGCTTTCTAGCAAGTTTCTTCCATTCCTATCTAAGGCAGCCCAGTCCCTCTCAACCTAACACTACTCAGTAACCTTCTAATCATTCTCTTTGTACCCAATCAAATAAGTAACAATCTTAAATAATTGAAGAAAGAAATAAATGGGAGGAAGGAAAGAGGACAGGGAGCAGGAGGAGGTGGAGAAGAAATGAGTCAAGTCTTAGCCAATACCAGTAGTTAAATCCACATGATGATGAATATTTTTGAACTTATAGCCAAGAAAAAAGTAATGATAAAATGGTGGAAAAAGTAATGTGTTTCCACATGATTTTAATTTCTATTAACTCAACTAGGCTTAACCTCTGTAATTAACTGAGCACTAAAAGTAAGGGAAGCTGTCTGTAACTAGTATCTGCTATCTAGTGAACCTCACAAGTCATATACAAATGACTGATAACAAAAATATTCTGCAAGTAAAATTACATAAAAAATAAACACTAACATTTAACAGATACTGACTGACTCTAAGAAATCATTACCAACCTCACAACCGTCATATAGGTATTCATAGCTTACTTGGGACCATTCTGAAAAAAACACTCATCCTCAACAACCTTGCATGGGACACAAGAGCAGTACCACATAGGTCAGCAATTCCCTATCTGAAGCTTTAAGAGCCAGATGTGTTTCAGAATTCATAATTTCTCAGATTTTCAAAGGGTAACATGGCACATGCACCATATGTTACACTAATACCCTCAGTGTCTATGGTATTATCCTATAATCAAACACATTATTTCTGCAAAGAAAAATACAAATATTTACAGAGTATGAGAAATAAATAATACAAATAAACTCCTATCAGTTTCTGTTAGGTTTTGCCATCAAGTAACTTTGTGTCAACCTTAAAAAACACTTAGATTTTTGAGCTTCTTGAATTTCAAGAGTGTAGACCCAGTATTAGTCACAAACAACTGACTTCTTTCCAGTCTCCAGAGCATTAAGAAAATTATGATTTTGTAAACCACTCCAATTTAACCCATCCTACCAAGAAAAATCACATCTGGTAAAAATAACTATAATAATAATAACAACCTCTAGACATTTTAAAATTATGATTAAATAAATAATAACCAGAGTTGACTAAACACTTCTAAGACACAGAAGGATCTCTTATGCACACTGACTGAAGAAAACAGAAACACCTTAGCCTCTAGACTGGAAGGAACGCCGTAATTAAGAGAGCTAGAAAATCAAGATGAAAGAAAAAGTACTTCTCTTCTGGATCAACCTTCTAGAAGGCTTTTTACCAATCAAAACTTGATGATAGACACAAGTATAGGTAGCTGATCAAAATTCAGACCAATCCAACTTTGCTATTACTTGATAAATTTTACAAAATGTCAGAAATTTTTGTAATTTTGTTTTGACTGTTGCCAATGCCAATTAATTATTTTTTCAAATGAGAGGTAAATTGAGACTCCTTGATATGTTTTTGATTTATAATCATGCTGAATAAAAAGCAATTTTTAAAAAATATTTCAATGTTTCATGTTTGTTAACTATTATTAGAAAAATTGACATTTTTCTGCAAAACCAAGTCCTAATAGCTTACCTAACCCCTCATTCTCCAAACACAGTACATTACTCAGACTCCAACCATAGGGATCAGCAATATATCAAATTTTATCTTTCTCTGATCTCTGAAAAATAACTTCTTCATCTGATTAGTCATTATTTCTTTTTTGTACATATGCACTGGAGGGATGAAGATAAAAACCACATTCAGTTATTATAAGCATAGCTGGGTAATAACGAAAATGAGAAAAATCAAGGTCCTTGGCTATTTTTTTCAAAAGCGGCATACAAAAAAATTCCTATTACTATAAAATCAAAGAATGACTCTGTGCCATGTTCCAAAATAATAATAATAAAGAACCAAAAAGAAAAGAAATAATAGACTGGAGAAATGAGCCAGATACTTCAAATAAAGCTATCTTAGGCAGAAAGAGTTAATTTCAAGTCCTACAATAAACCTTTCTTACATTTGAAAAAGATCTTTAAAATTGAAATCCTACTTCCCATTTGTTTCAATAAAAGATAACCTTTTTACAAACATACAATATATCAGAATCTCTCCAAGCAACAGCTCTTTCAAGTAACAGTTAAGAAATTTTTTACAGTTACAGAATGTTTAAAAACTCCTTTGAGTGGTAATGGCCAAAAATAAAATACACTTTAAAAGTAGAATTTAAAAAACCAATCTTCAAAAATCCCTTTACAATAAATAATAAAATAAAAATTAATTAATATAAACCATCAATACCATTATATCCAATATTCGCCCCATAACAAACTCAATATAATTTAATTAAGTTTTATGTTAATATACAACATATGCAATATAAATTTGTTCATCAATTTTATCAGTCTAATTCTGTTCATTGATCTGGTACAACAGTATTAGTACTATAAATATATACAATAGATAACAATTCGATTACTATTCTACTGGTTATTAAGAGCTATCTTGGGGCTATGTTTGACCAAAACTGTGTATGTCTTGAAGACAGCCAATCGGTCAACACAACTCATCCTCTACTTGTGAATCTAATTCCAGCTACGTCATCTTAGGTTTTTATGAGTAAATCTAAGCCAGTGCTTCTCAAATGGGGACATTTTTCTCCCCAGAGGACATCTGGCAATGTCTGGAAATAATAGTTGCCAAAAGAGTGGGAGTGAGGGCAGAGGTGAGGCTGAGGCAGGTAGTAAAGATGCTACTGGCATATAGGACAAGCCTCTACAACAAAAAATTATCCAACACAAAATGCCAACAGTGCCACAGTTGAGAAACCCTCAACTGGTACATAAGGCCTCAATTTGACCTTATTCTACTTTTCCAGGCTTATCTCTTCTTCTACTTTAACTCAACCCTGATCCCTAAATATAAAAAACATTTCCAAATCTCAATACTTTTAATTTTTCCTTTACCAAGATTGGTTTATCTAAATCTGTCTTTCTGTTCATAGTTCCTCTTATTTCCTCAATGAAATTGTTCTACATCAATCTAAACTAATCCCACTTCCTATGAAAGACTTGAACTACACAAGTGATCAATCATCCTTTGTATCAATTATTTTATTTAATTATTCTTATTTTTATTTTACTGACATGTTATTTTACTTATTTATTCTAGTATTATTACTATTGTTTTGTAAATTCACCATAACATCTAGCAAAGGGCTCAACTACAGACAGTCAATGAACACATCTTGGTCCATTTACGCAAACTCAGATTAAGCACTAAATACCACCAAAGTCTCAGGCTGACTCTTCTCATTAAATTATTTTCCCGGCAATATGACGTAACTAAACCATTGATCAAGATCTAAAATCAACTCCATTTTATTCTGGCTACTGGGGGATAGGGGTAGAGGGCATGGCTAATCATCTGCTTAATAAAAGTAATACATGTCTGCATCATTAAGAAGATGTAAACATTCTTTAAAACATTCAATTAATGTAGCAGATAACTAAATGTAAATAAGTCTCCTATCCTACCCCCAGTCCTACACCCATCTCAAATGTAAACACTTTAACAAGGTTCAAACCACAAAATTGCCAATATTTGACTGTTTGGACCTACAAAACTGGTTATTCCATATGGTTCAACCTAACATTTCTATATATGGTTCTTCTGGTGGTTATCACCATAATTCTAATACATATATACCCTATTTGAGGACTTGTTCATTTCAAACTTCATTTATTGATTGCTTTCAATCAGAAATGAGAAACTTATTTTTACTTTTGCACTAAAAATAAAATATAAACTATTTTTGTTTATATTTTATTTCATAATTTTATTTTCTTTTTCTTTTTTTTTTTTTGAGACAGAGTTTTGCTCTTGTTACCCAGGTTGGAGTGCAATGGCGCAATCTCAGCTCACTGTAACCTCCGCCTCCTGGGTTCAGGCAATTCTCCTGCCTCAGCCTCCTGAGTAGCTGGGATTACAGGCACGCGCCACCATGTGCAGCTAATTTTTTGTATTTTTAGTAGAGATGGGGTTTCACCATGTTGACCAGGATGGTCTCAATCTCTTGACCTCATGACCCACCCACCTCGGCCTCCCAAAGTGCTGGGATTACAGGCGTGAGCCATCGCACCCGGCTATTTCATAATTTTCTAAAGGTAGAGGATCATAATTATTAACTTTGTCAATAATCACGTGCCAATCTTATTGGTGGGTCATTCTTTAGCAATGTTGATTTGTTTCCATTTTACAAAAGAGTTAAATTATGTTTATCTTTAAATGTTTTCTGTATTATTAAAACCAAACAAATACAAAAAGTTTTATAGTCAGAATTTCAGATTTCAAGATGAAGGTAAGATGAAATTAATCCACAGAATCCAGTTAGCCAAAATTAAGGCCAACCAATCTAACCACTTTAATATTAAGTTCTAAGGAAGTCTGTAGTTCATTCAGTAAGTGATTTCTAGAAGTTGTTTTGAAAGAAGATGTGATCAGACAAATGTTTAGCTACCATGTCTCTACTTCCAATTTAATCTCCTATTCATAAGTAGGGCTGGGAATGTACAACTTCAACATGTTTGAAAATCAGTGATAGTACTAATGTCTTCTCTTCTATAAGACTCCAACTACATATATACTATCTCAGGCACAGAAAAGATTCAAATGGAAAACCATGATAATCTAGAGTAAGCCAATATCTCAGCTATGAGATCAATGCACCTAAAACAAGAGTCAAAAATATGATTCAATTTCTGTTGACAACTAATCATTTTAAATAAAATTTTCTTCTAAATTCCCTTTTACAATAAATACCAAGAACTAAACATATAAATTTATGACCTGAGACCACAGGTTGCAAACTGAAACTCCCCAGGGGCCAGGAAGGTAAATTTTAGGTGCAGCATACTAGATTTTATAAGAGGGAAGAGGAAGTAAATAATTTTAGTGTATTTAGGGGATACAGAGATATATCAACCTAACAAAACTCATCCTATCAATTTTCACAAATAACAGTTCTCTTCAACTATAATTAGGATTCAACAAGGTCAATACTTAGCTTGATATCATAAACTATTTTGAGAAAATACTTTGTTTATATCAGATTGTTTTACCACTTGAAAAAGAAGTGATACCTGTGAATACTCCATCTCAAAAAACAAATTGTCCATAAAGTCAATATTGTCACATAAATACGTAACACTTCATATAAGTTTTAGAATTGTTCCCACAGTGATATTCAAAGAATTAATAACTTCCGATATCCAACTATGTTCGTCAAAGTTTACAACCCAAACCATAACAAACCAAAACTACATCCTAGCCAAGAATATTCTTATCTGCCAAGGTCTTTACCAAGAGAACTAAGATTTAAATTTTACCTCCTCTCCTTTCCCCTTCCCTTCTTTGGAAATACCAAACATCAGCAAACCAACTAAATGGGGGATAAAGAGCTGAGAAGCAAAGGTTAAAAAAAAAAAAAAAAAAAAAGTTAATCAAGATAAACTTATCAATTTTAGATTGCTAGGGATGAATTCAATTAGTAATGAAATATCCAAAGTTTCTGTTTAAGATTCAATCAGTCAACTCTTAGGATCTAAGCAGATAAACAGACTAAATTCTGAAGACAAATCCATTGGATCTGACTTAGTGACCTCAAGCCAGTTCTGTAAACTCAATACCCCTGTTACCTGAAAAATAGTATCTCCTTCACTTAGTTACTGTGAAAATTAAATGAGACTATGCAAACAAAAAGTTATCAGTAAATCACAATGCAAATTCTGCTGTTGACGCTACTAAAAGTAGCTACAGTAATACAACACAATTTAATTCATCCCTTCCTACCATCCTTAGCAGGAAAAGGAGAAGGGAAAACCAGAGGAAGGAGAGACGTGACTAAGCACAGCAAACTCTTCGGAAGGATATTTAAAAATTGTGAAGAGCCCGGCGCGGTGGCTCAAGCCTGTAATCCCAGCACTTTGGGAGGCCGAGGCGGGTGGATCACGAGGTCAAGAGATCGAGATCATCCTGGTCAACATGGTGAAACCTCGTCTCTACTAAAAATACAAAAAAAAAAATCAGCTGGGCATGGTGGCGCGTGCCTGTAATCCCAGCTACTCAGGAGGCTGAGACAGGAGAATTGCCTGAACCCGGGAGGTGGAGGTTGCGGTGAGCCGAGATTGCGCCATTGCACTCCAGCCTGGGTAACAAGAGCGAAACTCCGTCTCAGAAAAAAAAAAAAAAAAAAAAAAAAAAGGATGAAGAGATGAAATTGGAAAGACTTTTATCACTTTAAATTTTCACCTCACTTTAAATTTTCGAAATAAGTGGAACGGCAAATGATTTTTATTGTTCATATCAGTACTTTTTCCCAAAAAATACTTAAATATAATTCTTACGTTTCTCAGATTCCTTCAATTGAAACTGTATATATTATACCCATCAGGTGCATTAAACAGAAGATACAAAGGAAAACCATACTTTTCTGTTTTCCAATTTACTACAATGTGATTATAAGACCTTTAAAAAAAGTTTTTAAAATTACTAAATATAGTGAGCAAGCATGCACGACATAAACTTCAGGGATTTCTGAAAAGCCCAATCCACAAGGTCCACGACCGACTATAATTTCAAGTGCAATTCTTACTCTGGTCAATTTTATTCTAGTAAAAGAGCTAATAAACAAAAAAGCAAAACTCCCCTCAGAGAATGTCAAGTGTACTGAAAACAGAAGAATCCTGCTCAAAAACTATTCATGGTCCACACATATCTCAGGATAATTTTCTACTTCAGAATATCTTTCAGTTTTTTCCTCTGTACCATAAACATATTTTAAGGTGTAAAATAGAGAAAATCCTTTTATATCTTTGGAAAAAGTTCTTCCCCTGACTGCTAATTATTTCTGAGGAAAACAGAAGCAATGATAGGTCTAGTGACAGGATCTAAAGGCAAATGGGAAATCAAACGGACAAAATAAATGAAGTTCCTGTGCTTTCACTTAAAATTAGCATTTTAATCAAAACTGATTAAAGAAAGAAATGTCTAAAAACAAACCCAACTCCAGAAGGCTGGGAAAGGGGAAGAGAGAAGGAAATATTTACCTGAGGCATCTCCAACTTTAAAATCACTGTCATCTGAACTATCATAATCGAGAGCTTCCAGCAGAGAAGCTGCCAAAGGCTTCACCTGCCTCCTCTTGGAGCTGCGATCCACTGTTAAGACAAAAAAATTACATCGTCATTCATAACCACACCAAACACGGGGGAGAGCTGTGTGTGGTGCTAAGAGAACATAAAGATGACCTGACGCAGGGGATTTTTGCCTAATTAAGTTATCAGCAAAAGGGGTCAGGAGAAGTGGGGTGCAGAAGTGGGCTGAGGAGGGCTGGACAGCGCCATGGGCAGTTTCAGAGGCAGCTCCAGCCCTGATGATGCCAACGCCAAACGAGACCAGCTAAAATCGAAGCCGACCCCATTGGGCATCTTTTCCAGATGTTTCTGCACCCTCCTCTTAATCCTCCACTTAAGACATTGTAACAGTCCATAAAACACGGAAAACCCAGGGAATCAAAGAAGCGGGGTTCCCTCCCGCGGACAGTGCAGCGGGAGCGTCCACCGAGGGTCCCCCTTTCCCGCGGGGCTCTCCCACCCCTGCCCTGCTCCCCGCGGCCCTAACTTCTAGAAGGGCTGAAAGGGATCCCTCTCGCCGCAGAGGCCTCGGACACACTTACTAAGGAATCCGTGAGGTGGTCGTTTGGAGACTTAGGGAGAGGCTGCGGGAGCCCAGGCAGCGCCGAAGTCGGGGACTGGGGCCGCGGAGAAAGGTCCGAAAAATGCTATTTAAAACCGGCGCGCCGCCAGCGGGACCGGGGCGCTCCCCAGAGCAGCCCCGCCGTCCCCTGAGCCCCCCGCCCCCCCGCCCCCGGCCTCGCCAGGCCCTGGTCGCTGGAGCCCCTTCCCAAGGCGCTCCCCGGCCGGAGAAGCTCTCCGGCCCAGGTAGCGCTGACAATCCCGGCGGCTCCGGGGAGTTAATTTCTCCCGTTAAAACCAGAAGAAAAAAAATTAAATAAAGAAAAACTTTATTAGCCTGCACCAAGAGCAACAAAAGACCCAGAAATTGCACAGCGCGAGGCCGCCCGCCTCAGACAATAGAGAAAGCAGCGACCCGGATACGGCTCTGAGGAGAAGGAAGTGAAAACACGAAGCTACAAGCAGCCCTGAGCAGTAGGAGGTGAGGGCGCATGCGCAGGACTCGCCCCCGCGCACCCTTCCGGAGCGGGAGCCGAACAGAGACAAGTGGAAGCCGACGGGGAGCCGAAAGGAGCCGCGTAGTGCCAAGCGGGAGCAGAGATCCCTGCCAAACCCTGTGCAGCTCCGCCCACAAACCCCTAAGGCTCCGCCTTCTCCGCGCCTAATTCTGCTCTTGAATCCAAATCCCTGGGACAAGTTTTTCTTTCTGATTTGTTTTTTAAGGATTTTCTCGGACTAAACTTAACACAAAGGGACGTTTGCTACCTTAAGCCACTACCAATAACTAAATGATATTGTCACCGGTATAGAGTCATGACTGAAAGTTGTCCAGGTTCTTGGCGTTTTGAACAAATCGGACAAAACGCCCAGCAAAGTAAAAAAAAGAATGAAGCAACAAAAGAACAAAAGCAGGGATTTATTGAAAATGAAAGTATGCTCTGCGACATGAGCAGCGGCTCGAGGCCCGAATACAGAATCTGCTTGGGTCCAAATACCCTGAAGAAGTTTCTCATGGGCCACTTAATGCTCACCTCGCGTAAATGAAGCGGTAACCCGCAGTCTGTTTGCAGAAAGCAGCCAACCAAACACTAAAGTGAAGTTACGAGGTCACGCTTCTGTGCAAACATCGATGCAAAAAACATCCAATCAGATTCTAGGGTGAAATTACAAAGTTATACCTCTATGCAAAGGAAGACTAGCCTGCAATCAGTCTGATTTGTTACAGCAAATTCCTTCTTCCTTCCTTTTTCAGGTGCAGGAACTTTTCTTTTTGTTCCCCGTTTGTCCATTGTTTTTATCATGAAAGAGCTTTGCGTTTTGTTAAATACTCTTTCTGTGTCTTTTGAGATGATTGTGTGATTTTTGTACTTTTTTTTTCTATATGGTTTATTTTTAACGTTGCTTGATTTTTATTTGTTGAATCAACCTTGCATTTGTGCTATAAATTCTACTTAGTCATGATGTATAAACCTTTTTATAGTTTCTAGATTCAGTTTGCTAGTATTTTGTTGATTTTTGTACTCATATTCATAAAGGAAATTATATTTTATGTCATATAAAGAATGTATCTTTATTAGTTATGAACTGGCTATAATAACGTCTCCAATAATATTCTTCTGAACGTCTTTAAGGCATGCATGATAAATCACTGTTGGAATTTTTTTTTTTTTTTTTTTTGAGATGGAGTTTCGCTCTTGTTACCCAGGCTGGAGTGCAATGGCGCGATCTCGGCTCACTGCAACCTCCGCCTCCTGGGTTCAGGCAATTCTCCTGCCTCAGCCTCCTGAGTAGCTGGGATTACAGGCACGTGCCATCATGCCCAGCTGATTTTGGGGTTTTTTTTCTATTTTTAGTAGAGACGGGGTTTCACCATGTTGATCAGGCTTGTCTTCAACTCCTGACCTCAAGTGATCTGCCCACCTCAGCCCACCTCAGCCCACCTCAGCCTCTCAAAGTGCTGGGATTACAGGTGTGAGCCTCCAGGCCCTGCCTTAACTCAGAAAATTTTGAGTCTCCTAATGCTCTGCCATCTTCTTACTAGAATATTTGTTTTATGTAATCCATCATGTTTCTCTTTTTATTCTAATTGTCAGGTATTCAAATTCAAGATATTTGTGCATGACTACATGAAGAAGAAGGAGAATCATGTTATACTCATAATTACTTCCAAATAACAGCAACCACTAACAGCTTCAATGTAGGATTTTGCCAAATGGTACTTACTCTTAATGTCCACAATTCTGTCTAAGCAAGCTGAATACGACTGTAAAAGCATCAGCAGGAATTATAAAAAGCAGAAGATTTATATTTAGAAATGGTCTTTCAAACTACTCCAAAAAAAAAAGATAGTGAAATAAACAGCTTGTTGTGGACACTTACTATAATGAAAAGAAATAAATATGTATACGAAAGATAGTAAAGAGTCTGGAGATCTGAATCTGAGTCCAGGATTTGCCAATGAATTTGTGTTACCTCAAAAAAGTCAACATTGAGCCTCCAATTCTTCACCCAGAATCTGGAAATAATTTTAATAACCCATCTTGAGAAGCAGATAACATCTGCGGTATCTCCAAAATTACTCTAATAAAAAAAAATTTTAAATCCAAGAAATTAGAGGACATGCAATAAAAAAATTATGAAAGAGAAAAAGAAAATAACAATTAAAATTAATTGAGAATAATTGTTGATACTGACATTGTGGAATTTAACACAATTTTATTAAGCAATGATATGCAAACTAGAGGGGTCATAATTATGAATGATTATAACCAAATCCAAGAGGTGGGGGTAAAAAGGAGTGCTTAGGGAAAGTAAAGTAAGAGAAATGAAGAAAAAGTTGAATTGTCTTATTTTGTTGAGAGAGAAACTACAGATCCTGATTAATTTTTTAAGAAGCCAAGAAAGGGCCAGGCACGGTGACTCAAGTCTATAATCCCAGCACTTTGAGAGGCTGAGGTGGGCAGATCACAAGGTCAAGAGATTGAGACCATCCTGGCCAACATGGTGAAACCCCATCTCTACTAAAAACAAAAACAAACAAACAAACAAACAAAAAAAAGAAGCCAAGAAAGTAAAATTTAGTTTGCTATAAATCTAAGAGTAGTAGTGCTAGTTTACAACTAGTTGAACTAATTTAATTGAACACGTGAATTACCTCACTACCCTCCCCAAAATACACAGAAATCACAGAAGAAATATACAAATAGAAATAAATCCATAAAACCATAGCATTGCTATAAACCTGAGAAGAATGTCACCAGCAGATTTTCGAGGACTATGGAGGAATTTTGACGGTTCTAACAGTAGGTCCAAATTGACAACAAAATCCAACAGACTAAGGCGCTAATAAATTCATCCAGGTGATGAATCATCAAAGAGAAGAATCACTAAAGTGAGTTTTTCCAATAAAGTCTCTGCATAACACTTAGGTAAGAGACAATGAGGGTTGTGAGAAGGGCTGACACTTGGACAGTAAGCTGGATAATTCCTCAGAAGGAAAAGAGCCACATAGTAATTCTGTTGCCAGAGGAGCTGAAAACAGTGTTTCTCTCTTGAATAAAACTTAAAGTACAGCTCTACTAAGAAGGAAGTCTAACTTTAGAGATTACCAAAATGGGAGCTAGGTTTATAGGAAGGAAACTCATAGTAACCCCACTGACTTTCAGCTGTCTTAACAGCTGAAATAGGAAGATCCAGCATAGAAAATACTCATAAATCATAGAAGAACCTAACAACATGTACCCTCACTATACCACCAACTTCCTCATTAATCCTACAAACATACAACCATCAGAACGAGTATACCTATAATGAAAACTTGCATTTATTCTCTGCCAGGTGAACAGGGCTACTTATTTGGACCAAGTATACCAATTCCAGCCACCAACACCACATATTGTATACTATGAACACAAATATATACAGAGACCACCAAGAATCATTAAATATTTAAATAAACTAATAACATTGGAGGAACTAAATTTTTTAAAACTTTAAACGATTACTTAATTCAGCTGTATCAGGTCTCCCATGGGCATCTTGATATTTAGAAAATGGAAGGGAGGCAGAGGCCATCTTTGTGTAGCTGTAACAGCAGCAAAATAAGCTCCATCATCTATGAGAATAGAATCCGTATTCATTAGCTTCATTCAAAGGCATAAGGACCAGGTGGAAGAGCAGTTGTAGAGAGGGTTTGCAACAACGGCTACACTAATTTTCTGACCTCTAGATCACAGCTAGAGTTACATGATTTTAACACTGAAAATTTCCTCAAATCCCTGACTTTCACTCCTCTGGTCTTTCAAATGATTTTGTATATACCAAATTTTTTTCAGCATCAAATATATAGTGTTTTTTATTTGCTATACTAGTTTAATCTGATACAGTAGTTGGTATATAAAGATGCTCAAAAAATAAAGAAAACTTTAACACTGGAAATTTGATATTTATTATTTGACCCAGTTTGGATTTAAAGGCAATAATGTCTTGATTACCAGTGGAAAATAAGATATTGGTAATAGACTTACTTGAATTATCATATGTCATCACCTGAAATAAGGGGCCTGTTGAACATAAGACCTGTTAGCAATTGTTTGTTACGACAAAACACTAAAACGGAAATAAGAAATAAACGGGCTGGGGAGGGCTGAGGTGGCAGTTTTGACAGCCTTTGAAAAATTAGAGAACAATGATGAAAGCACAGGATTTGAACTTTTTTTAATTTTTAAATTTGATATGGCATCTCACTATGCTCCCTAGGCTGGGCTTGAACTCCTGAGCTCAAGTGATCCTCCTGCCTTAGCCTCTCAAAGTGCTAGGATACAGGTATGAGCCACTACATCCAGCTGGCTTTAACTTCTTGACTCAAAACTTGTTCCAACACACAGAGATCTTCTGTGATTTCTTATCTTTGTCACTAGTCATGGGCCAGATAATTTTTTGACTCTGTGGCAAAAGGGTGAGGAAGGCTGTCCTGTGATTGTAGGATATCTCAGAACCTCTGGACTCTATCTGCTAGATGCCACTAACAGCTCTCCCTAACCCAAATTGTGACAACCCAAAATGTATCTGTACATTGCCATATCCCTTGAGGAGTAAAATGCACCACCAACAATGGCACCACCACCACTCACCCCTCTAATGAAAATTACTGGTATATATTAATTTCATCTCATGTCATCATAGGGCTGATATCATTAATATTAATAATTTATCTATCATTAATAACCCAAGACATGCAGTGGTAATATACTTACTTGAATTAGTAATTGATAAATCTGAACACATAAGTTGCAGATTTTAGGCAGCTTTATAAGAATTTAGGATATTTACTGGTATACAATGGTACCTTAAGAATTGAAAATCGGCCGGGCGCGGTGGCTCAAGCCTGTAATCCCAGCACT